TTATTTGTATATAATGTTTCGAAGTATTTACACGTTTACGATTAAAAGATAAATTTTCAATTAAAAGTTATGACACGAATGAGATTTTCCTTTTGTATTATTATTATTATTACAGTTGAATCTTTTATTTATCTAAAATATAATGTTTGATTTCTTAAAGAAGATTTTTATTAAAATAATAATAATAATAATAATAATATATAGTAATAAAGTTAATATGCTTTTGATTAAACAAAATTCTATTTCCTCGTTCAAATAACAAAGTGAAAATGTCGTGCAAAGCCACGTAAAAGGGCGTAACATAGAGCAATTGGTTGTGTTTTTCTGCGAAAGGAATAGTTACGGTAGAATTCTGATAGACGTAACACAAGTGATACAAATACAGGTGATAGTAGTCAGACGCATTGAGCGTGGAAAAAAAAATATATATATATGAAAGAAAGAAAGGAAGAAAAGAGGAACGAAAGAAATAAAAATCGTACACTCGTATATAGATTTTATTTGTATAACGTGTGTGTTATCTTATTTTTTTTGTTTGTTTTTTTTTTTTTTTTATTGTTGTTTCGTTTAATTGTAAGATTCCACAAACGTGTTCATTAAAGTCGGGAAATAACCGTTAACTCGTTATTTATTACTAAGAGTATATGAAATTTATCAAACTTACGTGTAAGCACTTATGGGGTTATACGTTACGTTGTTTAATACTCGAATAAAAACTTTCATTAAATCGTTGATATGTTTTTTAAACAAAACCAAGAACTGAAACTTCAGTTTTATAAGATCTATAACATTTTTTTTCATTTACCAGATAATTACATTCTATCAATATATTCCTGATTTTTTCTATTAACTTTCTGCAATGTTAGAAAAAGTTATTTATTATATCAATGAGAGAGATTTACCATTTAAACAATATTTTTTTCAAATAAATATTTCTTTCTTATTATTGAAATCAAATATTTGGCCTTAAAAACCATAATATCACAATGAAAAACAAAGTATGCATAATATCTAGATAATTACACTCTATTAATTTATATCCCATGGTTTCTTCAATTAACTAAATTAACCTAAAATAAAAATGACCATAAATAAAATAACATTAAATCAAACTTCCCTATATCCGTTACTAAAACGAGACAAATTCATCCCTGAACAAATTAATCATTTCTTTGTTGTTTTCAACAATAAAATAACATTTGAATTATTTCTTTCCTTCGTTTCTTGTTTTTAAGAAAATTTGAAAATATTCAAAAAACGTTGACTATTTGTAGATAATATCTGCTCTATGGTATCTCATGCTCTATTTAATTAATATCATTAAGACCACGAACGTAGTCTCTGGTGTTAGTTAAATCACATAAGCCTAACATAACTAACATAAGTATACTTATATGGTGGGTGTGTTCAGTGAAAGAGAATCTCGAGTGGTTTTATATTGAACGATATATATCTACGTGTATATCTTTCAAGCCATCTAACTAACTGGAAATAATGGAAATATTTTTAAAGGCGTTCACCATTCCTCTTCCTTTTACTCTTTGGTGTTACGTATTCGATTTATAACAAGTACAAAGCATATGGATACATTTTCACACGACGAGAAATCACTGACTGACCTCCCTTTTCAACCTGACCCACATAACTACTGGTCAGGGTCACCCTATCGGTTATCGACTTCTTATTATTATCCTATAATACGATTCCTATTGTTTTATTTTATCGACAATCATTAATGTCGGCTTTATGTGAAAACTAGAATCAATTTCAATTACATTTACTATCCACTGAGATGTAACTCTATTTTGAAATAATCCAATTTTCTTATCTACCTTCTTTTTCAATTATTTTGTAATTATTTAAAATTTTTGTAATTAGGTATATTTAATCTTCTTAATATTTTTTAATTATAATATTTTGTATTTTTTAGTAAAAGGTTTATACAGGGAGATGTGGATAATTTTATATATACAAAATTATTGTTTTATATAATCATTTGTAATTTAAAATTAAAATTGAAATTATTGTTGCGAGTGTTGATACAAAAAAAAAATAAATTGATTAATAGTTATCGAAATTAAAAAAATTATGAGAAAGTGTTAATAAATTTGTAAAAATATTTCAAATATTCGATTCTCTCTCAATCCAATGTACACAGATATAAATTTATAATCAAAGTTTATTTGATCTATTCAACAAGAGTGAAATTTTAACATAAGAGACAAATTATAAGATAGGAAAGAATCGGTGCTTTTAAAGTACCTGATGTTTAAACGTTTCGAGAGAAGAAACGAATGAAAGTTCAATCACGTTTGAATTTCTCTCTGGCTGTTTTCTCTAAACCATTTACGCGTTCCTCGTTCGGATTTATCTACACGTGTGCATATACGCGTGTGTGTATGTTTGTACATATATATATAAGATATTATATTTGCAAATAAAAAATCGGTACGTCACGAATCTGACTACTTTTACGTGCAATGTTTGTCGGATACCATTTATTTTATCGAAGAATTATTCTTAAACTTACGTGCAAACTTGCAAATGAAAAGAATACGAATCCGTATATGTATACATATATATATATATAAAAAAAAAGAAAAAGAAAGAAATACAATTCTTGGTATAATTCTGTTTGTTTTTTTTTCGAATTTATATCTATGGTATAACGAATACGAACTATAATCGTGAAAGTGAATCACGCGAAGTGAAAATTTTCTCGTGCATATGATTTTCTTTTTATTTATATTTTTATAATTTTTTTTTGGTTTTGTTTTTTTTTTTTCTTATTTTAATTAAATCTAATTTTTATTTAGGAATGGCAGAGAAAAAGATCGTTTGTTATTATACTAATTGGTCGATATATCGACCGGGAACAGCAAAATTTTCTCCACAAAATATTAATCCATATTTGTGCACCCATTTGATTTATGCTTTCGGTGGTTTCACCAAGGACAATGCATTGAAACCTTTCGATAAATACCAGGACATCGAGAAAGGTATAATTTTACTTTCGATATGGTTTTTTTCATTGCAATTTAATACTAAAAGAAATAAAGGATGATTGTAAACTTGTACGAATGAATTCAGGTGGTTATGCTAAATTCACGGGACTGAAAACTTATAATAAAAATTTAAAGACCATGTTAGCGATCGGTGGTTGGAACGAAGGTTCCAGTAGATTTTCACCGATGCTTGCCGATCCAGCCAGGAGGAAAGAATTAGTTAAGAATTCGATTAAGTTCCTCAGGCAAAATCATTTCGATGGCCTTGATCTCGATTGGGAGTATCCGGCTTTTAGGGACGGTGGAAAACCTCACGATAAAAATAATTATGCCAATTTCGTACAAGTAAGTATAATATAAAACGGACAAAATTTTTTTTTAATATTGTACACATAGTACAAACAAATTGACAAATTATTTCAAAATAATTTTTTTTTCAAAAAAACAGTCCTCCCGAAATTATTTTACGAATTAGCAAATTAATTTCTATACAAGTGGATAATATTTTTAACAATTAATATGAACACACGTTACGAAATTATAATATACCTAACATGAGATATAATCAACACAAGTTTTAAATTTAATTATTTTTCAAAAAGGAACTTTACGAAGAGTTTGAAAGAGAATCTAAGAAAACTGGAAGACCACGATTATTATTATCAATGGCTATGCCTGCTGGTATAGAATACATTGACAAAGGTTACGATGTTCCTCGTTTGAATGAGTATCTTGATTTTATAAATCTTTTATCTTACGATTATCATTCAGCATACGAACCCGCGGTAAATCATCATGCACCTCTTTATCCTTTGGAAGAGGACAATGAATATAATTATGACAGTGAATTAACAATAGTAAGAATTTTTTATTCAACGATACTTAAATTTATATCAATTTTAAAAATCTCAAAAATTTGATTAATATTATTTAAAACGTCTCAGAATTATACGATCAATCATTTAATACAAAGTGGAGCATCAGCGGAAAAAATTATATTAGGAATACCAACTTATGGTCGTTCGTATACATTGTTTAACGAAGATGCAACAGATTTGGGATCACCGGCTGATGGTCCAGGTATTGAAGGTGACGATACACGTGAAAAAGGATATCTAGCATATTACGAAGTTAGTATTTTAAATGAAAATACTATGACACACGTTGAAAAGTTATAAGTTTATTATTCTAATTCAAAAATTTTCTAATACTATGTCGAAAAATAAAATTGAGTTTGATCGAAAAGAATTATTTTTGTAAGCTCAAAACTTTTCAACCAACTCACTTACAATTACTATAATCAAAAATATATCAAATATATATGAGCCGTTTATTTTGAAAGTTGCATAAGACACTTTTTCAAAAAAAACTGAGTTAATGGTAACACTAATTACAACTGAACGGTATCTTTTCATTTTCATTAAAAAAAAAAAAAAGAAAAAAAAAGTGACTTATGCCACTTTCAAAATAAACGGCTCATATATATATATACATAAATAAAAAAAAAAAAAAGATAAAATCTAAGTAAAATATAAAGTAAAATAATTCGCGTAATACGAGTACTTTGACTATGTAGATTTGTGAAAGTATCACAAATTCGGATGATTGGGAAGTAATGCATCCCAATCCGAAAGCAATGGGACCGTATGCTTTCAAAGGTAATCAATGGGTTGGTTATGACGATGTTAATATCGTTCAATTGAAGGCTCGTTTTATAAACGAGAGAAATCTGGGTGGTATGATGTTCTGGTCAATTGACAACGATGATTTCCGTGGAAAGTGTCATGATCGGCCGTATCCTTTGATAGAAGCCGGTAAAGAGACACTTTTAATCGAAGACACGTAAGTAATATTTTCGTTTATATTTTGAATAATAAACAATTAACACATTGCGGACCGTCAACTTTCCTGAAAATTTATCTCATGTGGTACCGGCTATTGTTTTGAAAGTGGATGTGAAAGTAAAACAATACAAATAAATTAATTATTTCTCTCGTCTCCAAAAATAAAATTATTAATAAATAAGTATCGTAGGGAAATTGGACATTAAAAATAACTAGAACTTAGTTTTGATTTATTGGACGTTTCGTCCTTTTATTGGGACTTCTTCAGCAACTTAATTTCTAAAGTTTAATCAAGTTATAATTCTCTAAACTTAGTTTAGATGTTTAGTTTTTCGAATATTACAAGAATGTATGTCTGCTCAAATGAAAAAGACGCTGAACTTTAGAGATTAATTATTAAAATATAAATAAACTTGAATAAATTTCATTTATTATTCCACTCTTAATATTTATTAAAGAAAAAAGAATATATATATATTATTTTTCTTATTTCTTTTTTTCTTTTTTTGTTTATCTTTTTTAACACCAGTTAACTCGTGACCGGTCCGCAATCTGTTAACACAATATAACATTAACATTATTCTTAATTATTTAACAGAAGTAACGTTGCTCAAAAACCGAAATCAACGGATTCTCGTAAAAAATTACGCAGTCAGGGAACATCGAGTAATTCTTTACGTCGAAAAGCAAATTCGAATGTTAGAAGGAGTACAACAACTTCAGCTCCAGTGAGAAGAAAACAAGTTACGACCACTTCTAAACCGAAATATCGTACGATTTCACGAACGAAATTAACCGAGGAGGATGAGGGAGAAGGGGAGGAGGAAGATGATCGAGAACTTGAAAGACGATCTTACAATCCTTCATTCGTCGAAGAGAAAAATGAGAGTGGTAATGCTGTTAGAAATACTGATAAGAAAAAAAGATCACGAAACAGGAGTAAAACGCGAAATCGATCGTCGACTGGTAGACGTAGGAAACCAGGAAGAAATGAGGAAAATGAAAATGTGAAACATTCGACGAGTGAATCTTTGAGTAACAAATTGACGACACCTGAACCACCGACTACACCTGATCCTGGAACTGGTTGGTCGAATAATATCTAATTTCTTGATCACATATTTATCAGAATTTATCTGAATTGTTGAATTGTTTGTTTGCATTTATTTTTTTGATTTTATTAGATTTTAAATGCGAAGACGAAGGATTTTATCCTCACCCACGTGAATGTAAAAAATATTTCTGGTGTCTCGACAGTGGTGCTGCTGGTTTGGGATTGGTTGTTTATCCATTCACTTGTCCTGCGGGTAAAATAAATGTCCCATTTTTTGAAATGTTTCTTTAATTGATATCATTTTTATTTATTTTCAATGATTTTATTTGAATACACAGGTTTGGTATTTAACAAAGCTGCTGATTCTTGTGATTATCCACGTAACGTAGCTTGTCCTAAAGCAAAAACAACTCAAACGACAACAAGAGCACCGATCACAGCAGCAACCAGTCGTACAACTTATTTGCACAGTACAACGCAACGTACAACTACAGCTAAATTGGATTCCGAGGAAGATGAAGAATATTATGACGATGAAGAAGAAGAAGAAGAAGAAGTGGGTAACGCAGAAGAAGAAGAAGAAGAGGAAGAGGAGGAGGAAGAAAAATTGAAACCCAAAATAACTTCGACCATGAAACCACTTCAATATAAAACCATAACTAGAAATAAACCCAGTACTACAACAGCGAGTACAACCAATAGGACAACGTCAAGACCAGAGAAGGAAGAAGATTTTAAAAATGGCGATCTTGCAGATGAGGAAGATCCTAAAGTGATCAAAGAATTGATTAATTTAATCAGAAAAGCAGGTTAGATTTTCTTCTTCTTCAAAAAAAAATAGAAAACGCGTTGCAAATATTATATATGTGATTAATTATTAATAATTTAATAAAATCATTTTTTATTTTACGATAGGTGGTATCGAAGAATTAGAAAAACAATTACATCTTCAACAAAAGGGTTCCGGTACATCATCAAATAACGATCCTGTAACCCCAGCAACAATCAGTCGTACATTGTACGAACGTGTTCTGAATCGGCAAGCTAGCAAAATAGTTTCGGGATACTCTGAAAACCTTGATTACAAAAATGGGCCTGGTAGGGCTCAATTTGAAGGTTTGGATGAAATTCCTGAAGTAAAGAGTCTCAGGAGAGCACAGAAACCACAATATGTTACAATCGAGAGACCTAAGTAATTAAATGTTGTTCACTTTGAAATTGAAATTTGTATAAAAAAAAATAAGCTAAGTTAATTTTTAGGGTATCAACGAATGCACCACAATTGGAGGATGAAGTAACTAACAATAATGATGATGGTAATGATGATGATGATGATGATGATGTAGAAGAGGATTATGACGAATTGGAAGATTACAACACGAACGTAGCTTCCTCCGAGGATGAAACTATCAGCAATCCATCAGAAATTAGTACCTCGACTCAACGAGTAACACCAAATTATGTTAATATTCGACGCAATCGATTTTCTACGACCACGTCCAAGTAAGCCTAACGAAATAATGCAAATAACAAATTAATAATAATAATAATAATACTTATATATATATATATTATATAAATATTTTAGAAATGAAAATGACGTAGAAGAGAAAGCTGATAACGCGGAAGAGGAGATTCCGATTCGCCGAAGACGTCCCAACGGGTCAACCAAGTAAACAACAACAAAATCAATAAAAATATAATATAACACTCATAAAATTATTCTTGAAATCATTTATTTTATATTTTATTTTCCTTTTTAATATTTCTCTCTTGTAGAAATCAAGATAAGGAATCCGAACATAATTCAAAACCATTCCGCACGCGTACGAGATACAGGTAAATAAATGCAAACTATTATCTTCTGTAACAAAAAAAAAAATAAACATTAAAAATTAGAATATTTTCAAGATAATTTAAATGAATGAAAAATTTTAGGAACACGGAAGTTAATAAGAACGTTGAGGAATCATCGGAACGATTGGATTTGAATGGGAAAGTAATTCAAGGAACGCGACAAACGGATCATCATGAAATTAACACGCAACCAACGACCAAATCTAGGTTTTTACAAAAAAAAAAAACGTTTCAATCGTCAAATTATTATTATTAACATTGTAAGAAATCTTGTCAATGTTTTTAAATATATATGTTACAGATATATCAATATACAACGTTTCCGAAGTACAACGCAGAAAAATTTGGCCGATAGCACTGATAATTCTAGGATTGATGAAATAACGACGGAGAGAACAACTGTTCAAAATAAAATTGATAAGGATGAAGATATTACAACGACTTCTACGAATCCAGTGATATTTTCAACGATATCATCAACTACAACGACGTCAACAACAGAAGCATCAACTACGACAGAGCCCAGTTTGCCCTCAGTATCCTCGGTTACATCCATTTATTCATCATCATCATCATCATCATCATCATCATCATCATCATCATCATCATCATCATCATCAACTAGTACAAGTACGAATAACGAAGCTACAACCATCAAGATAAATCCTGTCGAAGAAACATCTATAGTATACAATCTTAACAACAACAACAACAACAAGAATAATTTGATACCGTCAATAACGACGACTGATTCCCCTGTTAAACTCGTTGAAGAATCAGCTACGGAAATCCTTTTGACGACAGCACCAGCGAGCCCAAGTCCAGGTACACCATCAATATTGTCTACAACCAGGCTAATAGCTACGGTATCGCAGCCACGACCATTCGGATTTACTCGGAGAAGATTGGGTAGTGTCACTGCTGATGTAACAACGACACCATTAGCCCCATCGATCGATCAATCTAGATCATCTAAGGTGAGTATAACGTCGCGAAATTCGACCCGATCGAGCTCGTTTCTGATAGGAAGAGGTCGATTAAGAACAAGACAGGATTCGTCTACTCGTATTTCCGACAATAAACGGATTATTACTGAACAAGAACAACTCGATAATCAAGCAACTTCCGAAGAAACTTTAAACAAACCAAGAGAGATTATTGCAAGTAGATCAACTAGGCCTAATAATAACAAACGTAAAGGAATAAATAGATATAATTCATCGACGAGCAATCCTATAAACGAAGACATATCGAAAAATACGATATCCCGTAGACGAACTCGTACAACAGAATCCCCCCCAAGTACTACTACTATTAAAACAATCGTTGACAATTCCAATCCAAGAAGAAGGTATCGTCGTCCTTCCATACAATCCACCACGGAAACTACCAAATCTAACGAACTCGAAGACAGTCCAATCGTTAGAATTACGCAAGGGTATAATAGCAGAAGTAAAAAGTTTCGATCTAAATCGGATGTCAACTTGGATAAGGACGATAATGAAAAGATAACGAACATCAGAGTTTTCAAACAATCCTCGCCGAGTATTAATAAAGAACTGTATGGAAGAACAAGGAATCCTAATAAAAGGAATTACGTGGATATTGAACAGGTAACTCAAAAGATTAACGTGTCAACAGATAATAACGAACAAATTTCTGTTCCTGTCAACGTCACGACAATTACTACTACGACAGCTATGACAACTATTAAAGAAATTGAACAAAGTACAACTGATGATAACTTATTTAATACTGTTCGAATTACTGACAATGATACAATCAATACCATAACCAATGATTTCGATGCGTCATCCACGCCAACTGTTACGGAAATCGAAGAAAGTAATACGAGCGTTCAACCAGGACCAGAATTTGATACGATTGCGTCGACTTATTACATTACCGAATCCACAACTGAAAGTAATACTATATCTACGGATAATAACGTCTCTTACGAGACCAGTTTTAATCCGGAAGAGATATATACCACTCCAAATATTATCATTCAATCGATTTCTCCTTCGATTTACGAAAACACGGAAATAAATAATAATAACGAAACGAATTTAGATACGGTCGAATCATCCGAAAAAAAGCTTACCAATCAAAGAAGAAAAAAAGTTATTCTTAGGAGAAGGCCTGTAACGGTTAATAGTAACAATAACACTTCTTCAACGTCATCGATACAAATGGAAGATAATAAAAAATATCAAGTAAACCGTAGACGAAAAGTATTGAAACGTATACGATTGTTAAATGGCAAATCTTCTACAATATCTTTAGAAAATTCTTCTTCTTTTTCTCAAGAAGAAGAATTAAGTTCATCCTATTCAGAAGCATCTTCCGAAACGAATATTTTCCAATCAGACGATACGACTGATCCAATTTCTACAGAATTACAATCAGAAGAAATACTAGAATCTGAAAATGTTACCGAAAATCTTTCAACCTTTGCTACCGAATTTCCAAACGTAATTGATTATACTTTGACCGATCAATCGTCAGATAGTAATTTAGAAACATCAACAATGACAACAGAAAGTACGAAAGATGATTATTTTATTTCCAATTCAACGACAATTCAATCAACAATAATGGATGAAACGATTACAGAAACTTTGACGTCAACAACGGAATCTATGTTTCCTGAAAATGATGATCTTTATTCGACTGTAATAACAACAGAAACAACTATAACACCACCAACCACTTACGTAGATAACACATTTGATCCAGAAGAAACTCGATTGGCTAGAGAAAATGTAACTGCTACTGTTCAAACAACTACCACCACACCATCCTTCTCAGGAAATTTGGAAGAGTCTCAAGTTTATAGCAGATCTTCTTCCTCTGAAACGAGATACGTGAGAAAAAAATTTCTTCGCAAACGTCCAGTATTGTTGCCGGAAACACCGAACAGCAGATATGCTTTAATTTCAAGGCCATATAATCGTACGTTATCTACGACCGAGAGAAACGAGATTGACGTTAATCAACTTTCCAAACGTAGGAAGAGTTTGTTCGTTCGTCGTCGACCTGTTTCATCGACTACGAGAACTACGGAAGGGTTGGAAATTAACAATGAAGATATTAATGAAACGGAAGAGGAAGAGGTACAAGAGGATGATGATGTTGATGATACTACTACGAAGGATATCATAAGCAGTGCATCTGTTGAGAACGAATCTTTAGAATTTTGGAAACATTATACGATACCTGCTGATAGATTGGCCAATCAAAGACCATCACCACCACCTTCCTCGGATCAAATTAAAAATACATATTTAACAACCGAACCATCGGTAACAACATATCCAACTGTAATAAAAGAAACCGAGGAATTCGAGAAGGATGATAGTAAGATATCTGGTAATGTAAATAAACCACGATACGTAACAATCAATCGTAGACCAGAATCACGACGAGCATACAAAGTTCCGAATTCGATTAAAAATGTGGACAACGTTAAAGAAGAAAATATATCAACTACGGAAAGAATATTATTGTCAGGTAAACGATGGTATCCCATTGATGATTCTTCGCCGGAAGAAACGGAAGATAATCCGGAGACCAAGGAAGCAACGAGATTGAAATTCAATGGGTATCGTCAAGCAAGAGCACGTTATCGAAATTACGAAGAAAAATTACAGAAGGATAGAATCAACAAAGAAACGGATACAACACCTTCGTATTTCGAATATACAACGTCGAGTTTGAGATCCCGTTATCAAACGAAACGTCCAATCACACCGGTTGAAGTTCCGGTTACTGAGACCCTAATACCTGCTAAGAAATTTGATTACGCGGCTGATGCTTTTCATAGGAAACAACAATCTTTAAGGACAACAACTCCACAACACTATGATGACGAGGAAGAAGAATCTACGATGAAATATAAAAATGAAGATAATTCTGAGATACAAAATCTCGTTGATTCCGAACGAACGACGATCCCATCATCAAACAAACCATTGGTTACCAGATTGGTAACTTCTATTGCTGAATCTGGAACCACTGAGAGACAAAAGATTTTGATCAAAACTAAATACTCGTCTTTAACATCTACCACGAGAATACCTGTCCAAAATGTGATCACTAAAAACATTGATTATCCTTCGACGACACAATCGTTCAAAATATTGAACGTTGATTCAACGAACGATCAAACAGTCACAACACTCGACGATTCAATCAACGAAATTCGTCCTGCGATCGAAACTTCGACTCTTCCTATAGAAAGCGAATTTCTATATCGTGGAAACGGACGATTCACTACGGAATCCCATGAATCATCGACCATACCAATCGAATCGGTCTTCAGCAATCTTATTGCTGGACCTAAGGAACATTAATCTCGATTTATTCTTATTATTAATAATAATTAACGACGAAAGAAACAATTAACGAAGAAACGATTCGATATTATTATTATTATTATTATTAGATAAATAGAAAAATAATAATTAATAATCAAACACAAAAATCAATATTTAATATCATTTCAATTTATCATTCGTTCTTCGTAACCAATGCAGACTGAAGTTACAGTATTCAATAATTTACTTTATCATCCACAAACGACTATTAACTAGACTATAACTCGACATTAATCATGATAATCATACCTACGAGAAAACGAACAACAAAATCATGAAAAATGAGATAAACGTGTCATTTGAAAAATTCATCGTATATATATATATATATATACCATAAAATAAAATAGGGAACGTTTAGACGGGTTCCTTAAAATTATTGTTCAAACAACGATCGAATAAAAATTCATCTAAATTCTATTAAATGCAACAGGGAACATTAGACAGATTCCCAGGATTATGAGAATGATCGTACACGTTCTAACGAATAGCGATGATTCATCGTCATGCATTTATCCTGCAAGCAAATGAAATATCCTCCATGAATTACCAAGCAAATATCAAAGACCATTCCTTTCTTTGTCTTCTTTCTCTTTTCCTTCCTAACTGATAAAAAAAAAGAAAAAAAAAAACTATAATTTAATAAATTAACATAAAAGAGAAATAAGCGAAGGAGACTTTGAACCAAAAAAAAAATAAAGAAAGAGAAAGAGAGAGAGAGAGAAGGAGAGAGAAAAAGAGAAGAAGGACCTTGGCAAGGATAAAATTCAATTAAAAGCACCCTGCCTTCTGATTTTCAGGTCGCCAACTCGGATACGCCAAGGCTACCAACCTTAAAGGAACTCATTGGTTATCAAACATACGATTATACGACAACACCTTCTTCAGTATTCTTAAATTTACTTCTTAATCTTGATAAAAATGTGGAACTTGATCTGCAAAATGTTGAAAATGATGAAATTAAATCAAACGTCGAAACGATCAAGACAAACCTTTACGAATCGATTGACGATGCTGATAAGAATAAATCCTTCAGTCACAAACTTACTGACATATTTAAGGAACACGAGACAGAGGACAATGACATCGATGATAAATCTTTGATAGAAAAACATAGAAAAACTAGAATCGATCATGGTGCTTCTTCAACGACGACATTAAAACCAACAACAATGCGGGGTACTCCGATCATAATTTCAACACCCAAGACAATAACTCGAGGCTTTTATGTGACTAAAGGGGATATCGAAATGACCACGATAATGAATCCAACGAAAGAAATATTAATGGAAAATACTGATTCTAATGTAACGAATAACGGGACGATTCTATCGAAGAAGATTAACGAAGAAGATAATAATATTTTGACGACTGATTTATCTAAAGATAATTCGATCACGAGTAGAACAACATTTGCTGATTCGAATGATCAATATTCAGAATATTCAAACGTTCTTACTAAATTGGAACAAACAACGCCATTAATAATGATTGAAAATATTAATCAGGAAGTAAAACAAAATGATCAAAATTTGTTTGTTGTTAAAAATGTTTTATCTACACCGAGAAGAAGAAAAATTGAATACAATGATGTTACCACTCCATTTTATAAATCTCGTACAAATTTAATAGCAGATACAACGACTGAATTGAATAGAAATACAGAAACCAAGATAGTACCAATGGATTATACTGTATCAAACGAATCTGGTAATACTGAATTTGATATAACAATACCAGAGACAATAACTCCAATGATAAACACTTTAAATACACCTATGATTGCAAATGACAATGATCGAGAAGAAAATATAATTGAACTCGAAAATGTTTCGATAAATTCATCGACAAAATTAACAAGTGATCGAAGTGAAATCGATCCTGTTGTTTCTGACAAAAGTATTGTAATATCTGATCATGGTTTAGAAACAACAACTACAAAATTTGATTTAACAACACCATATTCTGTAGGAACTTTTGAAACGACTACAGCAAGAGAAGAAATAGATGTTACGAATTGGAATAATGTGGAAACAACAACAATTATTAAAGAAAATGAAAATGTTATCACAGATACAACAATCCAAGAAAGATTAACCAATGTCGAAGATAAAATTGTTTCTAAATCCGATCGAAATGTCCAACAAACAAAAATCCTTTCCACGAGTACAATTGTTCCTTCCTCAATTTTATTACCTTCACAAACTCCTACAACTATTCCGAGTAATCAAGAAAAGAATATTAATCGTCGACGACAAAGACAAAGAATAATTGTTCTTAATAATCAATATGGTCAAAGAAAAAGACAGAATTTAAATCGTCGAGTAATACAAGTCGAAGATCAATCAGACAACCCTAAACGTGTATTAGTATACCGTAAGAGACAACGTAGACCCATTAACAATAATTCTTTCACCACAGTAGCAAGTAATTCGGTAACCATCAATGATGTTGGATCCAAAATGATTGATAATAAAACTCGAAGATCAAAATTGGTTATCAAGAGGCTGAAAATCAACCGTAAGGAACACAAGGAAGAAGAAAAAGAAGAAGAGGAAGAAGAAAGTGTCCCATTGGAGAAAACAAATACCCTTCGGGATTCTCTTATGGTCACGGAGTATACTGAAAGACCTGTGGACGAGGTCAGTGCTAATTTAAAAAGCGAATGAAAAAAAAAACAAAACAAAATCAATTCAAATTGACTCGAAACTTTTATTGCGAAGCTATAATTATCATCATCTTTGCATAATAAATCAACATGTTGAACATACATACTTCGCCTCGAGCTCTGTGCTAAAATAACGCTAAATTAGTCAAATCTTAGCTGCTCTACGGAAAAAGGGGGAAACAAATCCTTGTTTTTATCGCTGCCTCTTCTGCTCATGCTCCTAACTAAATCAAACAAGCAAAAAAAAAAAAAGAACCTCCACATATAAAGTTGGGAACAATCAATTCCAAGGTGCAGATTCAAACGCAAAAAACGAGATGAACAGCGTCGAGAGAAGGGAGAAGGACAAAATGATAATGCTGTGTTATTAAAGATGAAAAACTTGCCAGCGAACATTGGTCCTCTTATCTTCGCTGTTTTCGGTTCTTCATTTGTTCTCTGGTTCTTCCTAGCATCAAAAATTAACACAATCAAGTTTTTTTTTCTCTTATCTGTCTCTTATATTATTTTTTTCAAAATGGTGCGCCGCACGTTTGACGCACCTGTTTTTTATTGGCGCCTAAGCTTATCTCGTTGTATCCTATCCAAGATGTGTCTTGTTTTATAATTGTTAATGCTTAGCCGACAAAGCACGTGACGATTAATTCCATTCATTGTCTTTTAACATACAATTATGCGAATGAAGCGTACAACTTGAGAGATCCTACGCGTTTGCTTTTGACATATGTATATGTTCTATAGTAATTCTAATTCTCTTTGTCTATTGATCTATCTGTGTCTATCCATCTCTCTCTTTCTCTCTTTCTCTCTTTCATACTTTCGGTCATCGTATGGCTTATTTTATACCATTCAGAAAAAACAAATACGATACACGTAGATGTTCAATGTTTTTATTCATGTATATAAATCCCATGTAATATAAAGGAAATTATATTCGTGTATTATTAATTTTGAAATATATTTATAAAATGAATAATTGCTCGTTGTGAACAGGGGGGCACTGTTTCGGGATCGTCTTCTAACCGGACGCCAGGAAGTATTCTGGCAAACAGAATAAGAAAACCAAATCCATCCTCGCTGTCGAGTATATTATCAACGAACAAACGTCCTACGGTACTACTAGGGGATAATCGAAAGAGTCGACCTAGTGAGACCACCCTTTCACCGACGACAACAATAGTCGGTGCGTTAGAAAAATATACAAATCCAAAAGAAATTTGAATAGGTTTTTCATGATCATTTTTTTTTTTTATGGCTAACCAATAAACAATGAAATTCGATCGAAATTTCACACAATTGGAAGTTCGATCGGCAAACAGATAATTTTCAGACGTAATGATCACTCAGGATCATTGTTTCAGAATTATTCGATGATGCAACCGTGAAGCCGGAACAATTCGTTATTAAGGAGGAAGATGAAAGGGCTGAGATAAGCGATCAAAATGGCCGAGCCCAAGAGCTCGCAGTTACACTGGCTGATCCGCCTACTTTGCAGTCTTCATCCAGCACCGGTACTCTACAATTATCAGAAACTTCACGTCCTCAATTCTTAATTTATTTAATATAAGATCGTGGGATCCAGGCATCTTGGCTGCTGCTGCTGCTGCTTTTATCTGTTTCTTTGTTTAATGTTTTTTTTAACTTCTTCTTCTTCTTTCTTTTTCTTTTTCCTTTTCTTTCAAGGATCATCTGGAATAACGCTATTCTTATTTATCTTTCTAACGTTGCATACGGAATTATTTTTCTTTATGTTATACGTAATTTACATTCGCTTATTTTCTTCCTCAGTAATTTCTTATCGTCTGTCTTTTAACAATATGCTAAGATTTAGAATCCTTTGAGTGTTACTTCAAAAGGATTCGATTATCTTCGTCGAAGATAAAATTATTGTATTTCTTCGTTACGAATCAACGTTGTATTTCTTCTTCTTCTTTTTTGACGAGACCTAAATGTGTTTCTTCCTATGTGTGTCTAATATTTATCATGGTACTACATGTTCTTTTTTTTTTTTAATTAATTATCCATCTTTGTCTCTATCATTTCTTCTTTATTATCTTTCTGCAATCGGTCCTTTTACTTCGGGATACTTTACGAAACTAAAACGTAAAATATCCGATCAATGTGTTATAATTAACATCAAAACAAATTGGTTAAAGCACACAAACCAATGAATTAATCTTCCAAAAAACGCATTTTAATCGCTATCTCATTTTTAATGACATCGTCACATTTCTCAATTGAATTATTACTATTTACGTTTTCATCCCTTTATTATTCGGAATACGTAATGGGTACTAATATAAATGGAACGCAACAAATTGAATGATCTTCTCTTCCATTTATCGTTAATCTCCTCCTTCTTATCATCATCATCATTATCATCATCATCGGACAAACAAAACGCTTCGTCTATTTTGCATTTATTTCGCGAAAAAAAAAAAATTCGGATTAATAAATAAGGTTGCACGATCAGGTCGAGTGCCGTTAAAGGATACCTTAAGACGCAGGATAAGCACGACGGTAGCACCGCGAACAGATTTCCCAAGAACTAGTTCGACGTCCTTGAGATTCAGCACAGTACCAAAGACACGACAGAAAACAACGAAGACGACTATGACGACGACAACGACAACGACGACGACGAATAAAAGGAAGGAAGGAACAACAAGAAGTTCGACAATTAGACCAAGAAGGCCACAAATTATTGATTATGATTATTACGAGGACGAGGATACACCGATTATTGAAAAAACAATGTACAATGGAAAATTATTTTTAACTAATAGCGGCACTATACGATGTCTCGATCAAGGAAACTTTCCTCATCCGATATCATGTAAAAAATTTATTACCTGCGCTAAAATGGTTAACGGGTTAATCATCGGCGCGGAATACACCTGTCCTCACAAATTATCCTTCGATCCGGTCGGCGGTATTTGTAATTGGTCTGCAGGACTTGGTTGCAAGGAATAAAACCGCGACTAGTTTCAAACGACCGTACGACACTTACTAAATGAATAGAAAAACTTCGAAACAACATTACGTCGGTGGTACCCTCTAGGGGGCGCCAATTTTCAAACAACCGAAGTTTATTATAAAACACGATAATTAACATAATATCTGTTCTCCAAATCGTTTAATTAACACGAACGAACGAATTTTTTTTTTTATAATTATTACTTTAACACACACACCATACACAACACAACATAAGGGGTGTCCTGACAATTTATAATTCGATCCAGTCGCTGGATTTAATTGTAGAAAATAAAGAGCGGATATTTTCAAATGATCAAACCATTCACGATACGTCAGCGCTCATTTAACAAAATGACGGTAATTTTCAAACGAAACGAAATTTACTTCGAAATAATATGTTTTTTTCTCTCAAAATCGTTTAACACGAACTAAAAAACGAATCGTTTTTTTTTAATAGTTATAATATCGTGCGTTATATCCTACGTAGCCATAGTTACATAAGTGACGACGAAGAATGGTGATATTACAATTATAGAATCTCTCGCTCTTTTGTAAATATTATAATATTTTAGTGTGTAAATATAGCGTGGGATATTAAAAGATTTCTCGTATAGGGTCGTGTTTAACGATTAAATAATAACTTATACGTGTACGTAGCGTTGTGCAATCGCTAGCCAATTAGGTCTACTCTACTATCTCTGTATAGAAAGAAAAGAAAATAAATAAATAAATAAATGATAATAATTAATGAATAAATATATGCACAACTGAACCTTTGTAATACTCGAAGCAGACAATTAGGTAATTGTGTCCGTGAATAATTATGTATTACATGTGTATTATGTAATCGTAATAATAAAAAAAAATAAATAAATAAATAAATATATACATTTATATATTATTTATCATATTCTATACACATAACACAATAACGGAAAATTAAAACTACAAAATATATATGCGTACACAACAAAATGCACAAATCTCTGATGTTTTTTTTTTTTCAAGATTTTCTTTATTTTTCTTACGCCCCCCCCCCCTTCATATATAATTATTATTTTTTTTGTTACTTATTTATATTTTTATCATATGATTCATTATTAAATCAATTGAATTAATTCTCAAAGGATGAAATCGGCAAAACAAAAAATATAGTAAAACGTAATGCGACATGCGAGACGATTTTTCGTGTGTTTGTGTGTATATGTTTTTGTGACGTTTAAATTAAATTAAAATAATATTTTAAATACAATAAAATAATATATAGAAGAAATATATTTTTGTTATTTAATATATAATATATATACGAAGTTTAAATAAAAATTGCTTAGGTGTGTATTTCTGTGTGTGTGTGTGTGTGTGTGGTATAACGCTATATTATTTAAAAAAAAATAGAAAGAACAATTCGTTTCCATTTGAAATATGTACACTCTTAATTCCCGTAATGCAATTAAAAGTTTACATATACACGTATTATGTGTGTATTTATATACATACATACATACATATAATATATTATATATTTTGCGCCGAAATAACATTTTTTTTCTTTTTTGATATTACGTATATTCGAATGTACTTACGTGTTCATGTGAAAATGCGTATTGTGTTTGTATCGTAGTATACTGTGTTCTTTAAAATATTGTTTTCTTTTTTTTTGTTTTTTTAAACATTCGTCTCTCGATAAAAAGCTTAAGATTTGAGAAATAATAAACTTATATAATGAAACTCTCAAAACACATTAAGACAAAAATATTGAGAAAGCGTTAAAATAGTCTCAAGCAGAAAAGAAAACTTGCAGTATACGTTTCTCGGTAAGTATTAATGCATTTCACACAATGAGCTTGTACATATAGGATGATGATTTGAAGAACGACGGTATGAGCTTTGACTATAATAATAGTAATAATAATAATAATAATATTAATAATAATAATAATAATAATAGTAATAATAGTAATATTAATAATAATAATATTAATATTAATAATAATTATAGTAATAATCATAATAATAATAATATTAATAATAATAATAATGGATAAGGCTGCGAAGTGTGTGTGCGTGTGCGTGTAAAATATGATCTAAAAACAACATGACACGAAAAATGGCAGCTGCTTTTCTTCTTGGAGAGAGAGAGAGAGAAAGAGAGAGAGAGAGAGAGAGAGAGAGAGAAAGATAGACAGAGAGACAAAGAGAGAGAGAGAGATTTTCTTTTTTTTTTACGTAAATAGATCCTATATATTATACACATCGCTTCATAGATATTTATAAAAATAAATACTTTGACGAAGAAGACGGGAAAAAAATAAAATTANTAAATAGTGTTGCGGTAGAGAAGAGGAGGGAGGAGGAGGAGGAGGAAGAAGAAGAAGAAGATGATGATGATGATAAAAATAAAATAAAATAAAAATAATTAATAATAATAATAATAATAATAATAATAATAATAATAATAAGAGTGCTTCTTTCGTATATATTTTCTAGCGTTATTAATTAAATCGAAGAGCGTTAATAAATAATTAAATCAAATAAATAAATAATTTGCATCGTTTAACATCGTTTTCGCGTACTTAGGTTTCTTTTCTTTTCTTTCTCATGGCTTTTTTTTTTCCTTTTCTTTCTTTCATATTTTTTTTGTATACATATATATGTATACATATATATGCATATAAATATACGATTTATAAAGTATTATAATGCAACGTAAGTTCTTTTCTTTTCTTTCTTTCTTTGCTTTTTTTTCGCTAATAATTCGTTGTCGCTTTTTATAAAAAATATGAATATTCGATTTTCGAGCGAGTTTTCTGGATCCTTAGTAAGAAAGTCGATTATAATTTAATTCACCTTTTCTTCCCTTTTTTTTTTTTTTTTTTTCTTTAAAAAATTCATTAAATTCGTTTTATATCTTTTTAGATGATCTTAACGTTAAATGAATTTGGCCTATCGCGAGAGCATCGACTCAAAGCTTTTAGGAAGGATAGGAAATTACTCCAACTATAACTTTTAACCATACAGACGTGCAATATAACAACAAAATACGATTAGATAAGATATAATTTGTTATGTATAAATATTCATTAAATTAACAGAGTTTAAACAATACCATACGATTCGAATTCTTACTTTTTCTATGAGATACAAACATGTGAAACATTTTACTATTTTTTTTTTTTTTTTTCGTTTAAATAGTTGGAGTAATATTAGCTATATATTATATTTTATCTATGCCCTCGCAATAAGAGATATGAATTATTCGTAATATAAAATTCGTTTTTTCTTATTATTTCATTTTTTTTTTGTTTTCTTTTAATATTAATAGTCGTTTTCAAGCACAGCTTCGTTTATTATCTCCCTCTAGAACGCTTGCGTCAGAAAAAAATATATCGTTTGCAATCATTTCATAATAATTATAATAATATATATATATATTTGCGGACACAGGGGAAAAATTGAATATACCTAAAACGATGCGGTGTAGTAGGCGTCTTGGCAAGTGTTCTAGAAGAGTCGTTATTTTAATGCTTATATTTTTTTTGTTTCTTTATTTTCTTTCTTTTTTTAAATAAGTGTGTTATCTTTTCAATGTAAAGGATTAATCAGAGAAATATATATATTATTGTCCCTTTCAATAGTCTTATTTAAGTACAAGCCGTTCCTTAACACTCAACGGATATGTGTAATTCCTAAAAGATAATTCTTAGTTGTAACATTAGCCCGATGATTATTATGAAATAAATAAATATTCTCTCGTGTGTCTGTAATTGATCATTTCTTTTTTTTTTTTTTTTTTTTTAAAAACAAGCTTTACATTAAAAAGATACCACCAATCTTAATGCTAATACTCATGACGTGTAAAGAGAACTTATTTGTCTCTTTTCAATTATTTTATAACATCAAGTTGGTATACGATAGTCCTATTTTTTTTTGTTTTTTTTTTTTTCTTTTTTTTACACGTACATGGTTATTTAATAGCATTCCCATACTAGCTAACAATCCTTGCGTTGAATTGTCCTTTTTGAAAATTGGGTGGATTTCATAATTTTCTTCTGTTTTCTTTTTTAGATTTAATTATGAAGTTTACACACCAAAATATCAAAAAAGGTAATATTAATTATGTGATTTTTTTTTTTTTTCTTCTTTTTCTTTTTGATTTCACTTAATTTTTTCCATATTTTTTTTTTTTCAATGATGCAAACAATTTGTTGTTTGTTCGGATAACATATCATTGTAATATGAAATTAGAGGTCTGATTCACCATACAATGCAGTTGAGAAGGAGCGATAATCTAATGCTCCGGGAATTGCATTAGGACCTTTGTATGGTGGCATTCGTTGGATGCAATATTCGGCTTGATCAGGTGGTAATTCTCTCCTCAATTCATCGGGTAGGATATATGGCTGTGAAAATATTAATTGGTAATACAATTTGTATGGAAACAACAACTTAAATTACAAATCTTAATTTTCGATGATTTTCCGTTTTTAAACCACATGGGTTGTGTGCAGCTTACAAACAAATAACAAAAATATCGAATGACCTTAATGGAAAAAATAAAAATGATCACTTGTATTAGAAATAATTTTACCTTATCACCGGCAAGAATGCGGAAACTATCGATCACTTGTTCTGCTGTATCAGTGTCTGTAGATTCGCGTGTCATAAAATCTAAGAATGCATCAAAGTGCACATAACCTGAATTATTAGGATCAACGATTGCCAAGATTCGTTGGAAGTCAATATCACCCTGCCTATCTTTTCCAATAGAATATCCCAAAGAAACCAGACAAGATTTGAACTCATCCGGAGCCAATCTACCTGTTCTATTTTTATCAAAGTGATTGAAACTGCTTCGGAATTCGTTAAGTTGTTCTTGAGTAATACCCTGTACAACAAAATGAAACATGTTTATGTATACAGAATATTTGTATTATTGTTAATTTTAATAAATTAATTACCTTAGAGTCTCTCGTAAGAATTTGATTCTCAACTTCATTTATATTACGATTGATGGATGTTAATAGTTGTTCCCAACCAACTCTCAATGTTTCCATGGTATACTGTGTATAGCGATTTTCAAAGATCATGCCTTCTTGAACAGCTTGATGAATCTTCTCTAATTCTTCGAGGTGTGCCTTGTATTGATAAACGGCTTGTTCGTATTCTTTCAAACGATGCAATTGATCTTCCAATGTACCCTAAAAAAATAATTATTTTTAATATATAATATATATTTCTATAATATTTTAAATATTATTCTAATATTTACCTGAAGTCCCAAACCAATAGCAGTAACTGCATCCAATTGTCGTTCTATCCATGGTCCAACAGCATTTGCTTTTTCAGCAAATTGTCGTCGGAGCAATTCATTATCTTTTTACATTTGTTAAGTACTTGCATAGGTTATTTGTTATAAATTTATATATAAAAAAATATATAAATTTGAAATAAAAATATAATTTAGAGATATAAGGATACTTTGCTGCTTGCGAAGTTCAGCTTGTAATGTACCATCACGCTGTGGTACCAGTTGCCTGACGTCGCTCCATTTTTTAGTTAAATCCTATCAGAATTAAAATATCGATTAATATATCATCAAAATTCTACATTCAATTATCTAAAATAGAATTATAATTACTTACCAAAGCGGTAAGAGTTGTATACGGATTTTCAAGGCCACCTGGAATCTGGAACTGCTTAACTATTGATTCAACTTCCCGTACTAATCCCACAATTGCATTGTATTCCTTATCAGCTTCACCTAGAGTTGCTTTAAATGCAGCATGTGCATCCATCAAACCTTGAATCTCTTCCATTGTATGTACAATAAACATATCAACAAGATCTTCTCTGGTTCCATCTAACCAATTATTAAACGGCTATAATATAAAAATTAAATTAGATTTTTGTCTACATTACGAATTTCATTTTAATATTAAATAAAAAATGTACTTACTGCAGCTCGCTTTGCAAATTCCAAATGTAAGACATCGATCTTTTCTAAAATACGTTCTGCTTCGTCAAGTGCTTGACGTCTACGTTGAGTAAGTGTACCCAAACGATCCCATTGATCACAAATTCGTTGACATCTAGCATTTACAGATGCGCTATCATGATATTCTAATGTACTGTGAAAAATATTCATCATATTAATATAACA